GAGTGCTTTTAAGTTTCTTAAATTTTTATGGAATGAACAAATAATTTATTCAACTGATTTATTCAGGATGTAATTTATGGTTTCCTCCTCGGACAGTAGCAAACTAATCACCGTTGCAGGCCGTAGAAATAATCGGAAAGAATACTTAATGACTTAATATGACATGTATTGACTTAACACTCGATAGCAAAAATGTACTTTATGTATCTACTAAAAGTATATTTCTTGCAAGAAAAATGCATTTTTCAAGAATGAAGTTGAAAAATACTTGAAACTTTTCGACAACAAGTCGTTGTTTTGAGGTCATGAAGTCGGCAAAACAAGACTAAACATAAGTCGCCTATTGCCTCCAGTGAACTCCAAAACGTCACATGATTGAAAGTGAGCAATAATAGTGGTATCAAGACATGATAAGTGGATATAACGTATTTACTMGTTTAAGCGGGGCCCCCGATTAAACGCCGCCACCGAATAAGCGCCGCCCCTGAATTAACGCCGCATATGAAACCCATAAAATTTAATACACGCCGCGGCGCTTAAACGAGAAAATACGGTAACAGAGAACTGAATAATAATTGGATGACCGTTTTGTTTTTAGTCTACCATCATGACGCGCCAAGCCATGGAACAAGAATACAACAGTCTGGTACAGAAAGTGAACAACCAACTGAACGACTTGAATAAACGACAACAACAACAGAAGGTCGCTGAGGAGCAAGAAAGACTCAGGAAGATACAAGAACAAATGGAGTTGGAAAGAAAGAAGAGGGAAGAAGAAGAGAGAAAGAGAAAAGAAGAAGAGGAAGAAAGGAAGAGGTAAACAGTAAAGGGCAAAAATGGTRTTAAAACAGGAAGGGTGTATTATGGTTTTGCAAAAATACGATGTTGCGCAATAAATAGCCATAAAATATCTGATAAATCTTTACATTTGCTTGAAGGAAAATTGCGATGGAAATCGCGAGGAAGAAGGAAGAAGAAGAACGTAAAAAACGCGAAGAAGAAGAAAGAATACAAAGAGAGAAAGAGGAAAAAGACAGACAATTGCAGGTATCCATGATGACTTGCGCTGATACCTCATACCCATGATGCCTTGC